CTAATAGGTCGAAGGGATATGACGTCAGACTCTTAATTTTTGTCATATGGCCGGGTTTGCAACATTAAGTTGAGCGGTACAGTCGAGTTTTGGCGAACTAACACAGTTTTTGCGCTGATTTTGAGAAATCAGTAGTCCTACACACTTCACTAAAACCATGAATGGAAGGAGGTTGTCCCAAAAGAAGCCGCTAAGAAATCCCGCAGCTCAGTCAGAGATCTAATATCTGATGGAACACACTCAGCTAGCCAAACCCTTGATCCCTTCATGTTCATTTAGTTGGGTTAGCCAGCCATCGATTTGTTTTGAGTCGATGAAATTGAAAGCGTCATGCCTTCTAAACCTATACAAGAAGTAAACAAACAACAAACAAAGAAATAAATAAAGCTGCAAAATGAGTGGCCTCGAAAGGCAAAAGTGGAGGCCAAAAAGGGGTCTCTCGAGCACCTTCACGATTCCTAGTAAAATGCGTGGCACTTTCTTGGTATGACGAGACTCATGTGTGAAGGGTTAATGAACGCCGAACGACTTATGACAAATTTTATCCAGTCCTACGTTCCTAGTTACTGGTTTCATTTTTTTCTTCTTTTCGGGTTACCTCTCATGATAATAATACCGTCTCACAAATGCTTCTGGTCCTTGATAGACTCGCGGGAGCCTAGGATTCTTTGAGTCCATCGAGTCCGCTCCGTTCGGCTTGAAAACCACTTGGTGACCATCGGGCACCTTTTTGTCTATCTGGCGGAAAGTCTTTTAGCATTTCTCAGATTGTATCGATAACTAGCTCTCTCGAGCGAATTTACCAGCGACATCGATTGTCCTCTAAATAATTGGAAAGAAAGTCTTGTCACTGTTGTGACTTTTTTTTTTATTTTCTAACTCAACATACAATGGGAATTAGTCAACAATATACTCGTCATAGTTAGCCACTACAGTGCTCCACCTAATGGACAGGTAAACACTCCCCGGCGCTGTTTATCGACGGGGGGGGGCATTCTGCTTTTCATAGATTTGCCAACCCATCTAGGTACCCTTTTTTCGAGTTGACACGTTTTAGGATGGTGGCTAGACGATCTTGCTCCAGCTTCACAAGCGTTCACAAGTTTTACCAGAGTGAGATTTGTAAACCGGAACCAGGGAAGCAATTATAATACAAAATGCCCCCCCGTCGATAAACAGCACTCCCCCCTCCAGAACTGAGGAGGCTGCGAGTAGAGTAAGTCAGCGGCCTCTCGACTGATGTCATCAAAGTTGCTGAAAGTTTTCTTAGCTAAGAAAGCCTGAAGGAGGCGGAGCAGGTAGCAGTCCGTTCAATA